CCAGTGTCAGGTGCCGCTAACAACACTAACTGAAAACATGGTTTTCAAACTCTGGAATGTGTTTCGAATCAAATCGCTGCGGTGACTGCAATGAAGAAATCGAACGCAAGGATGAACATTTGCCGTTTTGAAACAAATTATGGACGCGCTATCTTTATGGAATACGGGCAAGAAACTGGAGAAGGGCACATTTTGTGCTTATCATGTGATCGAACTTACTCCTGTAGTTCGATCGTCTTAATCGTTACAAATCGACGAGAAGACGCTTAAGCATCTAGCCCTATCTTTACAGGGCATGGTAAAGTCTGACGGATAATACGATAAGAGTAAAACAAAGAAACAAAAAAACGGTTGCATGGGGTGGCAAACAGTTTACATCGTTCAAACACGATGAAGAACTTTCGAACCCGGACTCTTGTATTCGCCTTGCAGCGGCTTCCGAAAATATCGATGAAAAGCATCATTTGTGTGGTGCAAATCGGCAAGTTTCTGCTATAACCATTGACGGAATCATGCAGGCTTATCTTGATCATGAAAGCTCATTCAATTGCCAACAAAAATCCTACTCAAATCCGACACTTTCACTTTAGCTACTTCAGAAAAGGTAATGAATTTAGCTTGTAACTTACCTTGGGGTAGAAGGACTACGATGGAAAATGCTATTAAGAAACTGTTCATCTTAAGATGTTACGGACGCTCAGTTTAGTTGGGTTTCTGTGTTTGCTGCTGTTATCAGCGAATTTGGGGCTCTGAGTTCTTCAAGAAGCAAGTACACTGGCGAAGCTACTTTCTAACGACGCGTATGGAACTAAGAAATATGAGTATTATAATGAAGGAGGGTCTTGACCCTGCCAAGAAATCGACCGAAAAAAGAGCTGAAAGTCATTAAAAAAATTTTATCTATCAGAAGGACGAACCTATTCGTAGATCGATGCGGTCGACCTTGCAAAGGTTACTTGAACTCCCGCTTAAGGAAAACAAAAGCTAGGTTGTTTAGGTTTTTTTTTTTTTCTTTTTTTTTTTTTGTTTACGCTGAGGCCATATTTAGAAATGACTGTACTTAAAGTTGAATGACGTTTTTGAATGTAACGCTTCTGAAACGCTTCTGTAACGAACGCTCCTGTAACACCCCTGTCCTGTCTTGAAAGCAGCGTTTACCCTGGGTACCAGAGGTTTTTTGTCCGTGCGACGAGCTAGGAGCTTCCGCCACTTTTTAAGACTTAACCGAAAAACGGGGGAAATCGCGCATGAAAAACCTCTGGCACCCAGGGTACAAGGCGTTGCACTGACCAAAACATTATATTTAAGAATAAGAAGGGTAGAAAAACGGTATCAGAAAATGCCATCCCCGTTTGTCGCTGTGTCTCTGTTTACGAATCTATTTCTGGCCACGAGGGAAACCGTTTTCCGCATTACTATCAATGGAGCGCTGAAACGTAATGAAGATCTGTTTGTTTGAAGCGCGGCAACGACAGCTTTCAGCGCAATAACAAGACTGACGACAAATTTCTTGTGTCGAGGATCTTCTTCAAACTTTCATATATCTTGGTAAAGTTACTCTGTGTCAGTAGCCAGTGGCAGCGCGCGTAAAACCTAACTGAACCATGAAAGGAAACACTCTGATCTCAGCAACGGAAAAAAAACTGAAACGCCGGCCGGGATGTGCGAGCCCTTAGAATTCAAATTTAGATGTAATTTGCGAACAGTTTGTGGATTTAAGGGAAGAATCTTTGATGTGAAAATACAGACTTTTTTTCAGCCAATTGTAACTGATCCGTACTAATCTTGAATTGGGCACTTGGATTAACTGACTTGAAGTTTAATACGTAATTAACCTCGCGAAACCAGTTCAAAATCCAGAAATACTGATTAGTCTGAAATAAAGGTGAAGGAAACTATACAGAGCCGAGAGAAAACACTGACTAATAAAACTAGATGCCTTTATTTCATTCATTGAAACAGTCCTGACAAAATACAAGGATATAGCACAGCAATTTATCTCTATGTTCACGGAAAAATCCGCTTAAGTCAGGCATCAGGAAGACACTGCAGGCTAAGTACATAAAAGACCTGAAAAATACACACGAAAGTTTAACGATCAGTAATTATATAGAAACCCTGAATACTAGAGAAAGCTTGCTTAAGTGTTTTGGATTTAATAATTTATACGAATAAGCAATTGAGAAACCAGCCTTATTCAAACCGCGAATGTTCATAACTGAAAAATAAAATTCACAAAAAGTTGCGAAACCAGATCAAAACTGAGAACTGAGACGCCGTTCTGCTCCCACCGGTTGTTCAAAGGGGCCGCATTGATCATTCTTGGGTATGAATAAATTCTATCATTATTTTGGGAGGACTTTATCCACGCCATTAATTTCAATCTCGCTCACGTAATTACTTTCCACTTATGTTAGTTAGAACAATTCTGTCTTGCCAGTATGGGTTCTGATTGGCCAAAATACTGATAATTTAATCTAATATGAGCCTTTTATTTGAAAGTTTACCTTAGCTCTCACACTTATACTTCACCACAAGGTATTTGTCAGTTCCCTTGCAAGGATCACCGTACACGCGGTTATTTGCATGAAGCACACAGCTGGTTTTCCTGTCGCAAGCTTTTCGCACGACCGTCATGGATTTGGCAGCCTTGCACTTTGTATTGGACATGTTTTTGCCTTTGCACACTCGTTTGTTCAGCCGGCCATAGTTCGCCCTCACGATCTTGATTTTCCTTCCTCTTTTACAGGTTAAGGTAGCTTTCTTGCCTTCGCAAACTGTCAAAGACTTGGGCTTTTCTATTACAAAGAATCAGAAAACAATCATTAAACCTATTTATTATCAAATTGGTTTATGGTGGTTAAAAACCTATGTCTTACCGTGGCAAACAAAACGCGATGTTTAATAGTGTAAGACTGTTTTTTACAAAAATTTTAGATCCATTTGCTAGTCGGGGTAAGTCGCACAACTAAATCATCACAATTCAAGCCATGCACCTTCATCGGACAACGGTGATTTCCAGAAGTGAACCCTGTAACTTGGAGAAACTCAATTCATACCTTCCCTTACAGCCTTGCGAATCATCCTTGATATTTTAGTGAGTTTTCTGTCCATTTTGGCCAAACGCTTCATCAAGATCTTGTTTACTGGTAGGAATAATAAAAAATAATAATACAAAAACAATTAGAAGTCCTAAATTGAACGGGAGTTGTACATATGGAAAATCGCCCATTGTTTCTTGTGTTGAATACATGTTGATTGTCGTAAGCCTATGAATCAGCATCTGGGTTTACAACGGCAATTATGGCCTTTAACTTATAGAATTCTAGCAGATAGATTCTTAAAGATTAATGATCCTTATGAGAAAATACCTTGACGCGTCTCAAATTTTATGATTTAATTTTTTCACTTTTTTGGCCTTTAACCGACCATGGATTGTTTTTTGTTTTTTGCTCAACAGATTGCCCACAATAGTCGCTAAGATTTTTAGCACAAATGACACTATAATTATCAAAAGTCAATATCGTACTACCTTTTTTCAGATGCTTCGCTTCCAACTGTAGCAAGCCGATTTTGCCATGAGTATAGCGCACAGTCAAGTCGACTGCACTCACAATGGACAAGACTTGTCCCAGATCTTTCTTATTCGAGCAAACTGTCTTGATTTTCCAACGTTTCAAAGACTTTCCTTTCCCGCGACCTTTTCTAGCGAAGGAAGGATGTAACAGCGCGAGTAACGCGAGAGCGATGACCAAGCAAGTAAGTACTTTCAACATTGCAATGGGTTCACCGAGAGTGATCGTGTCCTATCGTCCTCGTATAAAGCGGTGAAAAGTCTTCGAAGGCGGCCTAGAACTAGAGTCATTATGGTAGTTGGTAGTATTTCGAGTCTCGCACTTTTTCTTGTTGAATATACGTCAATCGTTTATTTACCTTTTGTGTCAAAGGTTAGTAAGATAGAAACAACACTTAACAAAGCTTTTATTTGCTTTTAAAGATCTGTGGTCGGTCCATCATGCTATTCAACGCATTGAACAAAAACATGGAACTTTTAGAAAACTTTTTAATAATTTAAACGATATTTTATCGACTCTAGTTTTACTATATCGCTTATTATCCATGCTGTCCCGGTTATGTTAAAATGAAAGTGTCAAATTCTTTTATCAGCGTTACATTTTAGAAGCATATATTTATTTGCGTTGATGAGTACTAAACCATTGCTTTAATTAAGCTTTAAAAACTTGACATGTTCCACGAATTTATCATGACTAATAATATATATAATTATATATTTATCTGTCTTGAAGTCCATACGAGTGCACATTATTTTTCTTTTTGTAATTCTTCTAAACTCACTTCAAAACAGTATCTTCAGCGAACCTTTTTTTTTCAGAAAGTTTCAAGTTCCATAATCTTCGCCTGAAAAAAGACATTTTGTAATAATGCAAATTTTCCCTCAAAGTTTGCGAAGTTTGAGATGGAACAAAGATTAGGTGCGATCGTTCAGGGTATAAATTAAAAGGCAGAGGGACTCTCTGATAGTCTTAGCTACGACCAGACTCGTCCCTAGCGGACACAACACAATTTTCGTTTTTTCCGTCCGCTTGACTATACTCATCCACGCATTTAACTTCCGCTAGACTTCAAGGGTGGAAATATCAAGTTTTATTGTATCGTTTTTCTCTTTTAAGGAATGTACTCTCTGACAAAGGAACTAGTTTCGTTTCCCGTATTAAACCTTAAGTACTACGGAAAAGCAAATCAGGAAAGATAAACTAAAAATATCAGTACTATTTATTGTATGCTACTGTTCAAGTACTGAACAAACATATTCGCAATTTTCTTTGTATCTTCTACAGGGTGCATTTTGGTGTAAGTAATAAACTGTCGACGAATTCTTCTTAACTCCGACATATTCACTGTTCTGTTCAAAAGAACGTGGAGGATAAATGGTCAAGGAAGCACAACGGCACCGTCTGGCAAGTCATCACAAAGTACCACAAAAATACGGTGGGGGGAAGGGGAGGGGATGGGGAGGGGGAGGGGAAGGGGAGGAGATGACAATACAATGGCAAACCCAACAGCCCCTGGGTATTTGCCATTTTTTTAAAAACATTTGGTTTCGTCTTCCTCTCTCCTCCACTGTATAGTTTTCTGTTTGTAGCAGGGAAGACTGATGGTCCTGGCATTTGTTTCACTCTGCAGCATCTAAGAAAGGGTTTTAACTCCTTTCCTTAACAGCTTTGTATTATGTCTTCACACCCCACAGTCAAAATGTCCATATATACTGTCTGCACATACCGGACGATTTCAGAAACTCCCCCCTCTCTCCCTCCCTCGTGCGGTGTATTTGGCTCTCGTTTAAATCCACTACTGAGTGGGCCTACTACATACAGAATATGAAGGTGATCGTAGTTGAAGAGGTAACCTGCAGAACGAAGTTGCTAAGCCGGAAGCGTAGCCTCGTGGGCTGAAGAGGAATAATATAATAAGAAAATAACGGAAATGCTCGAGTTGGAATAATGGTATGATGCCCTTTTTTTAGGGGGGGGGGGGGGGGGGAACATTAGATAGAATAAAAAAACCTTTTGAGAAGTAGTGTTGGATGGTGACCTTCCCATTCTTTTTCTTCACCCCTAGAGAAGCCACTATAAAATTATACTATTAACGCCCTGTTCATTATCCTGAAAGACCCTGGAGCCCGAAC